GAATCATATTGATGAGAAAATGAGGAGGACAAAAGAAACATATGAATATATGAGAATAATAATAGCAATAGAAATCAAAAAGGGTATCTCAAATACAGGAGGGAGGCGAAGGTTGGAAGGAAGTGTGAAGAAAGGATAGGAGGCTGTGCTTAAAAAAATGATGATAAAAAGGTTCTTCAAACGTATTAACAATGAAAGATGAATGAAGGCTAGAGTGGGACCCATTTTAAAAAGAAACAAGCAGGTAAACTGCTCACTGCAGCAAAAGGTATGGCAGGAGTACTAAGTGAATACTTTGCTTCTGACAACCAAATTAGAAGGTGGTGACAAAGGCCTAGTTGAAAATGTGGGTGTTGAGCAGTATAGCAGCAGATAAAGAAGAGAGGCTAAAAAGTCTGGCAGCACTCTGGATAGAGAAGCCAACAGACCTGAATGGGATGCAAATTGACAGAAAATTTTCCAGGCCTTTCTGAACAGCGGATAGTTCTGGGGTCTGGAGGATTGCAAATGCGGTCTGTTTCAGAAAGGGGCAAAGGATAACCCAGGAAACCACAGATCTGTCAGCTTGACATCAATAGTGGGAAAACTGATGGAGGCCGTAATACGAGATAAGATAAATATACACAGAGAAAAATAAGTTAATACTAGACAGTCAACATGGCTTTGTCAAGGGCAGGTCATGTCTAACAAATTTAATGAAGTTCTTTGACAAGGTGATAAAGGCAGTGGATGAGGGTACTGTTGTCGATGTTGTATACTTCGACTTCCAGAAAGCATTTGATAGGGCGACACAAGGCAGGTTGGTTAGCAAATTAGAAATGTTTGGGATTGATGGGTCCTTGGCCGCATGGATTAGAACTTGGCTAAAAGATAATAAACAGAGGTCAGATGTAGATGGGCATTTCTTAATCTGGAGACAAGTTGAAAGTGGTGTTCCCCAGGGATTGGGACCCTTTTACAGATTTATATAAATGATTTGGAGATAGGTATTGAAGGCAAAATCTCTAAATTTGCAGATGATACTAGGGAGAAGAGTCAATTGTGAGGATGACGCTGAGCGACTTCAGAGGGACAATTGACAAGTTGGCCAAATGGGCAGACACCTGGCAGATGAATTTCAATGCAGAGAAATGTGAGGTAATATATTTTGGTAGAAGAAACATGGAGACAATGCAGGCTCAGTGGTACAATTTTGAGGGGAGTACAAGAGCAGAGGGACCTTGGGGTTCAAGTGCATAATTCTCTGAAGGTGACCAGGCAAGTTGAAATAAAATGCTTGGATTTATAAATTGAGGCATAGAGTAGATTGGCAAGGAAGTGATGCTACACCTCTACAAATCATTTGGAGTATTGTGTTCAGTTATGGAAATCTTATGTAAGGCAAGATGTTAAAGCCCTGGAGAAAATGCAAAGGAGACTTGCTGGAATGATATTAGGATTGAGGGATTTTAGACACACTGAAAGATTCGAGAAATTGGGCTTATTCTCCTGATAGTGGAGAAGATTAAGAGGTGACCTTATTGAGGTGTTCAAAATTATGAACAATTTTGACAGGGGATAGAAGGATATTCGGTTTTCACTAGTTGGTATATCAGTAACTAGGGGTCACAATTACAAGATTGTCAGCAAGAGAGAGATGTGGAGAAACTTCTTTACTCAGAGTTGTTAGGATTTGGAATGCACTGCCTTGGAGAGTGGTGGAGGCGGATTCAGTAGGAGGTTCCAAAAGAGAAGTGGATGTATGTTTGAAAGTGATAAATTTAGAGGGCTACAGAGATAGGGTTGGAAAACGGGACTAGCTGGGTAACTCCTTCTTTACTGTAAAATTCTGTGATTCTAAGAGCTAGAGTATCATGTATTGTCCTGGGGACCACACTTTAGGAAGGATGTGAATGCTGGTAGAGTGTGTAAGATGTCTACAGAAATGGTTCCAAAGATGAGAAATTTCATTTAAAGAAGGTAGGTTGGAGAAATTTGGACTGTTTTTCTCGGAGAAGAAAGGCTAAGAGCAGATTTGATTAAACTTTTAAAAACCTTGAGAGGACTGGACAGAAAAGATTGGGAGAAACTGTTCCCCCTCAATAATGAATGAGAGGAAAAACATCAAAGTGATTTGTGAAACGAGTAAATGTAATATGAGAGAAACATTTTCACACGGTATGTGATTCAGATCTGGAATACAGTGACTGACATATGAAGGAGGCAGGTTCAGTCAAGGCATTCAAGTGGGCGTAAGATGAGTATTTACATAGAAATAGCATGTATGGTTATGGGAGAAAAGACAGCAACATGGCACTAAGTCATGATGCTTGGTCATGAGTTGGTGCAGACTCTGAGGTGAATGGCCTCTGTGCTGTGAGAATTTTGTGATTCTCTGAGGTGTAGAGGTAGATGAAACATGCAGGGGGAGGCTGTTCACAAATGTCAGTTGTGATTAGCCAGGTTAAATACAAAAAGGTCAGGGAGGCAATGAAAATAAAAGTAATAAGATGGGTAAAGAGAATATGCAAGAAGAGACTGGCCACTAATGTAAAGGGAAATTCAAAAATCTTCTATAGGCATACAAATAGTCAAAGGGTAGTTGATGTGAGCAAGGAGCAAGAGGATCTAGGCATTCAGGTAGAGGCCATGAGGTTGTATTAGAGTTGGGCAAAATTTTGAGTGGTCTCGACATTGTAGCTAAACAGAAACAATTCAGTATTGTGGCAAAGCCAAGCCAGAGGACACAATTTAAGCTGATTCACAAAAGAACCAAAGAAGACATTTTTATATACTGGAAATGGGTCTGGAATGCGTTGCCTGACAGATGGTGGAAGCAGTTCACTATGACTTTCAGCAGAAAATTGGATAAGCTGTTGAAGATAAAAGGAAGTGTGCAAGGTTATAGGAAAAGGACTGGGTCATGTGACTAGTTGAAAAGTTCTTGCAGTCAGCCAGTGTGAACTCATCAGGGCGAATGGCCTCCCTGTGCTGTTCCCATACCATGATTCTGTCCAAATTATTTGAATAATTCATTATTTTCAGTCCTGACTTGCCTCTTACTTGTATCACTTAATTTAATTGTTGGGTATTTAGTTTTTGTTAGTACAAAATATTTTTCAGTTATTATACATTCCTCAGTTTAACCAATCTCAATTCTGCCACATAGGAATCAGTTTTTAAATTATGTAATGGTAAGTGCAGAAACTAATTAAAGCTTGGTAACTTAAAATTTGCAGCCATTTCATTTTGATTTCTCACTGATTTTAGTTATGAGTTGATGAAAACTGAATACAGTCCCTTTCAAGTTGATAAGTGCAGTCACTGGAATGTCTATCCATCCCCCAGAGATGTAGCAAATTATTACAGCACGTTATCTCATAGTGAATAGGAACAGAAGAAGGCCATCCTCTCAAGCCAGTTCTACCATTAACGAGATCACAGCCGATCTGATCTGTGGCCTAACTGCGTGTATCTGCCGTTGGCTGTAAATCTTAGTGCGTTTGTTTGACAAAAAAATTATCTAACTCATATTTAAAATTAACAACTGATCTAGCATCAACTGCTATTTGTGGAAGAGAGTTCCAAACCTCTACCATCCTTTGTGTATGGAAGTGCTTCTTAACATCTCTCCTGAATAATCAGGCTCTAATTTTTTTCACCATGCACACAATTTCTAGAACATCCAACCGGTTGAAATAGTTTATCTTTATCTTTATCTACCCTCTCTTTTCTGGCTAATATCTTGAAGACTTCAATCAGATCACCCCTTAACTTTCTAAATTCTACAGAAAACATGCCTAACCGGTCCCCTCACAACCTAACCTCTGATGTCCAGGAATCATTCTTGTAAGCTGATGTTGTACTCTCTGCAAAGCTAATATATCCTTCCTAAGGTATGGTGCTCAGATCTGCTTACAGTACGCCAAATGGGGTCTGATCACAGTTTTGTATAGCTGCAGCAAAACTTCCATGTACTTATACTCCCTTTCTCTAGATATAAAGGCCAGCGTTGCATTAACCTTCTTGATCATTTTCTGCACCTGTTCATAATATGTTAAAGATTATTGCACCTGAACACCTAAATCTCTTTGAATTTAACTCTAGATGTCTAGAAAGTATCCTAATCTATTCTTTCTCGGTCCATAACCTCACACATTGAACTTCGTCTGCCAGTTGTGCCCAATCACTTAATCTATCAACAGCCCTTTGTAATTTTATGCTGTCTACACTGTATGCAATACCACCTAACTTTGTATCATCAGTAAATTTGGATATTTGGGCACTTTGTGCCATTATCTAAATTGTTAATAAATAATTTGAACAAGTGATGCTGGAACACAGATCCTTGCAGAACACCACTGGTCACATCCTGCCAATTTGAAGACCTCCCATTATTCCTCTTTTTGTCACCTGACACTGTCAGTTAAGGCTTCTACCTAAATATGTTTTGCATACGGATGTTGTTGCTGCACGAATGATATTTAACGGCAATTGAATAGGTCAGATTATAGCCATAATTTCAAATTTTCATTTCAATAACTAACAGAATCTGTTAACAATCTGCAGGTAATTTTTATTACATACAGCTACCAAGCCGTATGGATCATCGGGAGATAATGGATTAGCCAAAGTTTTGTTAAATGAAGGAATTTGCTCAAGAGGCTGAATGGCCTTATTCGTTGCTTTGTGCACAAAACTGGAAATTAAGTTGAACCTTATGTAACTGTTGCTCAACAAAATTTGTTTCTGCAAAGATAACATTGAATAAGTGAAGGAAGACTCACAGCAGCCACATGAACGCAAAGCTTTTATACCATTGGATGAAGTAGAAAGACAGTTTCAGCAATAATAAACAAAGTCTCAGAACATTCTGGTTTTACTCTTATAATCATCTTCGAGTTCCCATTCATAGTGTCTGATTGCTCATAGAAGTTGCATGTTCTTGGTTTTAAATTTGCTGTTCTCCTGGAAATAAGGCTATAATTTGTACAATGTCATTTGTTTGATCTGATATGCAGGTTAAAGTTGCCATTTTGAAATACATCGAAACGTTGACTCTACAGATGGATCCTGCAGATTTTGTAAATTCCAGCGAAACCCGTCTAGCAGTATCAAGGATCATCACATGGACAACTGAGCCAAAGAGCTCGGATGTTAGAAAGGTATCTGTTTTATCTGGCCTTTTGTATTTAATTTTGATGTTCTATTTTTGATCTCAGTGGACTAAACAATCAAAAGAAACCATGCACCATTTTTATTTCCTGACATGATTGTCAAAACAGATAAAATTATTAGAAATCAGTTTATTGGCTGACTGAACTATCAAACAATGAAATGATGGTAGAATAATTGAGACTTCTAACTCTTTAAAACAAGGCTCAGTTGTTATCACTGCTGCCTCACAGCACCAGGGACCCGCGTTCAATTCTATCCTGAGGCGACTGTCTGTGTGGAGTTTGCACCTTCTCCCTGTGTCTGCGTGGGTTTCCTCCGGGTGCTCCTGTTTCTTCCCACAGTCCAAAGATGTGCAGGCTTGGTGGATTGGTCATGCTAAGTTGCCCATGGTGTTCAGGGGTGTGTAGATTGAGTGGGTTATAGGGGGATGGGTCTGGATGGGATGCTCTGGGGGTTGGTGTGGACTTGTTTCCACACTGTAGGGATTCTATGATCTATGAAAACCAAGATAAAATTGTACCAATATTTTACCTTGAGAAATTTTTAAGTGCTCAGAATTTGGTACAAGGTAAAAGCGAATTCAGTGCTGTAAGATTAATAACTTGCTGAAGGACTATTAACAGCATAATATTTTTTAAAAATAGGAGCAGGAGAATGTGATTCGACCGGTTGAGCCCATTTTGCCATTAAGTAAGATTATGGCTGACCCCAACTTCAATTGCACTTTCCATCTAATCCCCATATCCCTTGATTGCTTATGAGTCCAAAATTCTATCAATCTCAGCTTTGAATATACACAGCAATTGAGCATCCTCAGCCTTGTCAGTAAAGCATGCCAAAGATTACAATGCCCCATGAGTGAACAAATCTTTCCTTATTTCAGCCTTGAATAGCTATCTCTATATCTTGAGACTTAGCCTTTCCATGTCAGGCTGTAATCCTGAAAAGCATCCTCTCAGTATTGATACTGTGTACCTCTCTCAGATTCTATGTTTCTATGTTTCAATGACATCTCCTTTAATTCTCTAAACTCCAAAGAGCATCTCATCAGGGAAACACATATCCCAGGAAATAATCTAGTAAATCTTTGTTCTAGCACCTCTGAAGGAACTGTACCCTTCCTTCAGTTGATGCAATCCCTGTAGCAACCAATATCTTAAGAAAATAAATTTGAACTTACAGTTACTAGCTGAAAGGATGATATGACCAAGATTTCATGTTTTAAAGCTTTTACTGTAACAAACACACTCAAAGCAGCATTGATTAAACACTACTTCTGTCATTGATTTAAATTACAGAAGAGAACTTTCTCATTTTACATTGCAGAAATGAAAAACTCCACTTCAAATTTATACCATACACTATCCCTTAAAGTGGTTATTTGATTTGTGCAGATCTGATCTGAAGTGATTCTTAGCTCCTGCAAGTCTACTTTCATTTTTTTCTTTATGTGGTCTGTTAATGTTTAAGAACAGCTTTTATAGTGAGGGCTTTCATAGAGATTTGCCTTCGAATGCATGTTAAGCAGATCTTGCAAGTCCTCACAAATTTTGATCTTTTCGATCTGAACACCAGCTGCTCACTGGTTCTTACTCCTCCTATACAATCTCTTGAACTCCATGTCCGAATCAGAATATCAGAATTGGAATGTCTGTTATACCTCCCCAGCAAGATATGAGAAGCCATCACTGAAGTAGTGAGTTTTCAGAAACTTTTTTCCAAATATAACAACTTATAAAAGGCTACACACCTAACAAGTCTATTACAATTACTTTACTGTATACATACAATGCTAGGAAATTTTCGCCTGAACTGTTATATTTTGCCACAAAACTGTAGACTCATACAGTTTAAGTTGTATCAGCCCAATGCACCTAACAGTGAAGAATTCCTTTCCATATTTTGCAGATTTTGCATTTCTTTCTCTCAAATGGATGGCTTTTTTCATCTTCTGTGATTTATCATAGTAGATCTCCTTTCTCTTTTTGAATACATTTCACAGCATTTCTGCGTCCTCGGTTAAAAATCTTCCTAATCAGTTCGATCTGGAGAATTTTATCAAGTGTACAACTTGCACTAGAGATACAATATAATACAATTTGTGATATTTTAAACACTAACAGGTGTAAGATACAAGTCAAAATAAAATCCTGTGTCATTACTCCCCTTTACATGGGACTTCAATATATCACTTTGTTCTTCTTTAGAATCAGTGTGTGAACCACTTGATCCAGATTCTTTATTTCCATTCTCTTTTGGCCAGTAAGCTTTTTTTTTAATTGTCCATAATAAGGAAAAACATGTCAGCCAGTTAGACAGCCAAGTTGCCTTACTGCTGTTTAAATACAAAATTACAATTATCTTTTAAGAATCTCATCAAGGTCAGGTCAGTAATCATGTTGATGTGGTCCTCCAGAATTTTTTTTTAATAAGTCATTTACAGGATATGGGCATCACTGGTTAGGCCAGCTTTCATTGCCCATCCCTAAGTGAGAGAGTCAACCAAATTGCTGTGGATCTGGAGTCAAATGTAGGCCAGACCAGGTGAGGATTGCAGATTTCCTTCCTTAAAGGACATTAGTGAACAAGAAGGGTTTTTCTGACAATCAACAATGGTTTTATGGTCATCATGAGACTCTTAATTCCAGATTTTTGTTGATTCAAATTCCAACACATCTGCCATGAGGGGATTTGAACCCAGGCACCCACAATATTAGTTGGGTCTGTGTATTAATAGTCCAGCAATAATACTACTGAGCCATCATCATTCAGGGAGCTGTGAAAGAAATTAGCAAACAGGATCTCAAAAGCAATAATATCCGGCTACTCCAAGTATACTGCCAAGTGAGTATAGAAACAGGAGGATAAAGCTGATGAATCTGTCACTGGAAGGATGATGCATGTGAGAGACCTTTAGATTCTTGGAACCTTGTGATTGGCTCTCAGGGAGATAGGACCTGTTGTACACAAACAGATTTGGACTGAATTTCTAGCAGAATGTTTTACTGATGCTATTGGGAAGAATTTAAACTACTTGGTAGGGATATGAGAATCAAGAAATAATATTGAAAGGAATACCAAGCTATACAGAATATCAGAAGAAATAGGGAGCACCAAATAAGATATAATAAGTTAATGGGTAGAATAAAGGAGAAAATAATAAAGCCTAATTGAGGATTACAGGCATTTAGGTGCTTGTACAAAGTGGTGGTAAATAAAATTGATGAGTTGTAAGCGCAACTTGCCATGTAGAAATATGATGTTATCGCTATAACAGAGACCTGGCTCAAAGAAGGGCAACATTGGGCATTAAATATTCATGGATGCAAGGTGTTCAGCCAAGATGGCAAAGGCAGAAAAGTATTGAATAAAGAGAACATTGATGTACAGGAGAAAGAGGGTGAAACCGACAGTACATTAATTATAGGTGACTTTAGTCTTCATGTAGTTTGGAAAAATCAAATTGGCAGAGATAGCCATTGGGAAGAATTCATAGAGTGTATTCAGGACAGGTTCCTGGAACAAAAGAAACAAAGAACTGCACATGCTGGAAATCAGACACAAAAACAGATATTGCTGGAAAAATTCCATTGGTCTTACAGCATCTATGGAGAGAAACCAGAGTTAACGTTTCTTGTCCAGTGACCCTTCCTAGAACAATGTTAAGGATCCAATCAGTGGTCAAGTTATTTCAGATTTGGTAATATTTAATGAGGCAGCATTCATGTCTCTGTAAAATCAAATAGTGACCATAACTTGGTAACACTAGGCACTCAGTTTGCAATTGGAAACTTGGGTCAGAAGCAATGGTGCTAAACTTAAACAGGGATATAAAGGCAAAGTAGGCTGGAGTAAACTGGAAAGGAGTTTAGAAGGAAAAACAGTTAAGGAACAATAGTAAACATTTAAGAAAATAGTTCATGGCTCACAGAAAAGATATTTTTCCCAGTGAGAAAGAAAGATTCTAAAGAAGGAGATAAACTGACCATGGTTAACCAAGGGAGTTAAGAATAGGATCAAATTGAAAGAAAACAAAAATTTACAATGTGGTAAACCAGAGAATTGAGAATGTTTTAAAAGCCAACAAATGATGGCCAAAAAATAAGGGAGGGAGAAAATAAGTTATGGGGGCAAACTAGCAAGTGAAATAAAAACTGACAGTAAAAGATTCTTTAAATATATGAAAAGGAAGTGAGAGACCTAAGTGAACAAAGGTCCCTTAGAAAAAAAGGCTGGGGAAATAATGATGGAGGACAAAGAAATGGCAGACGAATTGAATAAATACTTTATATCAATATGCTCAGTCGAGGGCATTAATAGTATTCCAAACTCATCAAGGGATGAAAGCTGAGCAGGAAATAAATGTAATAACTATTGCTAGAGAAAAAATACTAGGGAAACTAATGGGGTTAAAAGGTGATAAATCCCTTGGACCTTAGAAGTTTCATCCCAGGCTACGAAAGGAAGTAGCTAGAGATAGTAGATGCACTGCGAAGTCCCAAATGATTAGAAAATTGCTAATGTGACACCATTGTTCAAAAAAGGAAGGAAACAAAAATCACATAATTGTAGTCCACTTAGCTTAACAGTTGTTGGGAAAATGGTAAAGTCTATTATAAAGGATGTCGTGGCAATGCATTTAGAAATGCACAATATAATCAAGAAGCATAAGAATGGCTTCATGAAGGGGGAATCATGCCTGACAAATTTGTTACAATTCTTTGAGAAGGTAACAAATAGAACGAATAGAGAAAAACCAGTAGATGTTGTATATGAGCATGAATAGAGGACTGGCTAACTAATACAAGACACAGGGTTGTGATAAAGGGGACATTTCGGGGTGGCAACCTGTAATGAGTGGCATGCCACAGGAATCAGAGCTGGGGCCACAATTATTTACAATATACAACAAACTTTGTTTTAACCGGCACAATTGATATACCTCCAGTACCGTGATCTACAGTGATGTCCAAATATTTATGCTGTA